AGGCAGTTCGTTCCTGATTGGAGTGGTTGGTGTTTTGGGTAGTTCTAGAGATCGGATTTCACTCAAACTTAACCAAATGACTCCTCCCACCATATTATAATGTTGCCCAGGTTTTGGGCTCAATCTGAAATCAATAGGTGTAAGAAATTGGACAATTCAAGTTCAAACGCAGTTCGTTCCTAATTGGAGTGGTTGGGGTTTTGGGTAGTTCTAGAGATCGGATTTCACTCAAGCTTAACCAGATGACTCCTCCCACCATATTATGATGTTGCCCAAGTTTTGGGCTCGATCCGAAATCAGTAGGTGTAAGAAATTGGACAATTCAAGTTCAAACGCAGTTCGTTCCTAATTGGAGTGGTTGGTGTTTTGGGTATTTCTAGAGATTGGATTTCACTGAAACTTAAGCAAATGACTCCTCCCACCATATTATGATGTTGCCCCAGTTTTGGGCTCGATCCAAAATCAATAGGCGTAAGAGATTGGACAATTTATGTTCAAAGGCAATTCGTTCCTAATTGGAGTGGTTGTTGTATTCCATAGTTCTGGAGATCAGATTTCACTCAACCTTAACCAAATGACTCCTCCAAACATATTATGATGTTGCCCAAGTTTTGGGCTCGATGCGAAATCAATAGGTGTAAGAGATTGGACAATTTATGTTCAAAGGCAATTCGTTCCTAATTGGAGTGGTTGTTGTATTTCATAGTTCTGGAGATCGAATTTCACTCAAAACTAACCAAATGACTCCTCCCACCATATTGTGATGTTGCCCAAGTTTTGGGCTCGATCCGAAATCAATAGGTGTAAGAAATTGGACAATTTATGTTCAAAGGCAGTTCGTTCCTAATCGGAGTTGTTGGTGTATTCCGTAGTTCTAGAGATCACAGCCTCTAATCTGTCCACTTCTTCTTTCCTTATGCTTTGTGTGATGCATGCTTCAATAGGCTCCAAATAACTCATGGCAGTGCTTCTTTCACCATATTATCAATTGCATCAAGCTGGAAAACTTCATGCTCATCACTTGGAAACTTGGAGGCTTCAAACACTTTGAATGCTATTGTCTCATCCGAAATCAGCTGGCAAAATCAGCTCTTCTACTTTCACCAAAACATCTTCTAGATTGCCCCTAGGGTACCTGATAGTTCTATCTGCCAATTGAATGCTCACAGATGTGGCTTGCAACTCACCAAGGTTAAGTTTCTCATAAACATGATATGGCATAAGGTTAATGGATGCACCAAGATCAAGCAAAGCTTTTTGAAACTTAAAATCACCAACAATGCAAGGTATAGAAAATGAACCTGGATCCTTTAGCTTTGGAGGTAGCTTTCTTTGTAAGACTGCACTAACCTCTTCACTTAATGCAACCTGTTCATGCTCTTTGAATCTCCTCTTGTTAGTGCATAGATCCTTCAAAAATTTTGCATACTTTGGAATCTGAGCAATGGCACTGAGCAATGGGATGTTGATTTGCACTTTCTTGAATATTTCCATTATCTCATCCAAGCCTTGATCTTTCTTTGACTTTGATAACCTGCTGGGAAAGGGTGCAATAGGCCTAAAAGCATTAGATGAAATTGGAACTTGATTAGCATTAGATGATACCTTAGGGCCTGTGCTCTTTCCAAGAGAATTGAGGGGTTGTTTGGTGGAATCTGTGGGCTGCCCTTGTGGTGGCTGAATGATCTCCACATTTTCTCCCTCTCCTTGCTCTTCATGGGCATCTCCAACCTTATTATCAACTTGTTTACCACTTCTCAAGATGTGCACTGCTTTAACTTGCTCATGATGCCTTGGATTGACCTCCGTTTGGCTCGGAAAAGTTCCGGATGCTCTATTGCTCATGGAGGCTGCAATCTGCCCAACTTGCACTTCTAGTTTGTTCACTGCATTTTGAAGATTCTGATTGGTTTGCATTTGTTGCCCCATGAACTTCTTGAACATGTCTTGCAATTCTCCCATTTGATCATCCCTTTGTCCTTGCACTTGTTGGGGAGCTTGCTGGAATTGCCTTTGTTGTATTTGGAATCCTGGGGGAGGTCCTTGAGATTGTTGCACATTTGAATTATTGCTCTACCTGAAATTAGGACGATTTCTCCACCCCGGATTGTACGTGTTTGAGTAAGGATCATTCTGAGGATTTCTTCCTTGAAGGGCATTTGCTTGTTCTAGCATGTGGTCCGCAAAAGATTGGCCTTGAACTTCCACTTTGTTTCCTAGAGGACCAGTCACTGCCTGTTGAAGCAAAGAACACATAACATCAAGTTTTGCATTAATCTCATTATTAGTACTTACCTCAGAGACCACAGCTTTCATAGGAGCTCATCTTCCTTTATTGTAGCTCCATTGTTGAGAGTTGGTACTCAAAGATTCAAAGAGAGTAAAAGCCTCATCTGCTGTTTTGTTCATCAGTCCTTCTCCACTTGTTGCATCTACCATCATCCTTTCAGAATCAAGCAAACCTTCATAGAAAGATTGCATTTGCATCCAACTCTCTATGTTGTGGTGTGGGCAAAATCTCATCATCTCCTTGTACCTCTCCCAGCATTCATGAAAAGCTTCTCCTTCTCCTTGCTTGAAACCAAGAATTTCCTTTCTAATCTTGTTAGTCTTTTGAGCTGGAAAGAATTTCTGCAAAAAATTATTAGAAAGCTCATCCCAAGTACGAATTGAAGCATTAGGCAAAGAGTATAACCAAGACTTAGTCTTGTCTTTTAAACTGAATGGGAATAGCCTCATCTTAATCTGCTCATCATCAAGTCCTTGAATTTTGATTGTAGCACATATTTAAAAGAATTGCTTAACATGCATGTAAGGATCCTCAGTGGTATTACCATAATAAGTTGGAAGAAGATGAATCATACCACTTTTAAGCTCAAACCTGTCAATTGTGAGTTGAGGATAGACGATGCACGAAGGTTGATCAGTGACTTTGGGGATGGAAAATTCATGCAGGGGTTTCCGAGGTTGGACAACAAGTGCACCACCTCCTTCATCATTATTGTTGTTGTTTGGAATTTCTGCCATCTTGCTTGAACTTTCAGATTCGTAGCTCTTAGATTCAGCACTTGAAGAACTATAATTCCTCCTCAAACCAAAACGTACAGCAAAACTTCTTGGTGAAATTGGCTCAGAATCATATTCGGACATATATGCACACACAAGAACCAAATTAGTGCTTTCAAATGGAGATAACAACTACAAAGAAAAACATAATATAGAAAGAAAAACCAACGAAAATAACAACTAAAACAAAAATACTCAAAGTAATCTAACTATAGCACCATCGTTATCGGTTCCCTGGCAACGGCGCCAAAAACTTGTTGAGCCTATTCCTAACAACTAAAATGAGTTATTAAAAATAGCAACGTCAATTCTCGCAAGTGCACGAACCATTTATAGTATAGCTTATGAAATACGAGGTCGATCCCACGAAGAATGGTAACTTGGTTGCAAGTTAAACTACTTAGAATGATGGAAAAACTGAAAACAAAGAAACAAACTAACTAACAATTGGCAAGGTCTAGGACAGAATCCTAGCACCACACACGCACTCGAATGGGGGGTTTTTGTTGTTTAAATGAAAACAAGAGAATGAAATGGAAGTGCTGGAAGTAAACAATGGCAGCAATGAACAAGTTGTGAAACAATGATTGAGAAGTGTTAGAGCCTTGGAATCTACCACTAGTCTTCCTA